CCTCTCTCTCTGTCTCTCTCTTCTCTCTCTTCTTCTCGTCTCTCTCTTCTCTCTCTCTCTCTCTCTCTCTCTCTCTCTCTCTCTCTCTCTCTCTCCTCTCTCTCTCTCTCTCTCTCTCTCTCTCTCTCTCTCTCTCTCTCTCTCTTCTCTCTCTCTCTCTCTCTCTCTCTCTCTCCATGCCTCTCCTCCCACACCGCCGTCTCCTACTGCTCCCTTTCACCTCCAAATGCCGAACTGTCGGCTGTCCCCTCCCCCGAAGAAGGACGGCGCTACGTGCCCTGGTCAGCTGCTGTCGCTGGTCGTGTCGGCCGGTCGTCCTCCGTCCCACCGTGGCCGCACGGAGACGAGACTCGCATACGAATGCCCACCTCCCGTCCTCCCTCCCCTCCCGATCCTGGCCGTTCCTCGGCTGCGCTATCAGAAGAGCCCGCCGCCGCCGAGCATGTCCAACACATGGGACACCGCCAATTATAGTCGGACACTGCGGTCAGTGGACCGGCGCGTGGACCAGCGATAATGGTAATTAATCGGGCCACCGGGCCGCTTTTCCCTTGCCCGGCACGCGGCAGGTCTGCGGCCAAAAACGGCTGGCCGTCAATCCTCCTCGTGGAGCTGTAACGAGTGGGTAGAGCCCCCGGGGGAGAGCAAGGTTTTGCTTTTTAGTATGGCCTCCCTCAGAGATGCTCAACGGAACGTCATTTTAGCATCTCCACATTAAATAAAACTGTGAGATAACATAAAGTGACCTTTTATTTTATGAGATAATATGTTGAAAATGTTGACGCCGGACGGCTTGTGTTTTGTGAGAATGAAGGTATTGCTTTCATGGCTGGTAAAAGGGTCGATTGTTATTGCTATCGAGTGAAATTCGGTGTTATATGAAATTATCAGTCATGATTGGTGTACTCTCCCTCGGTCCGTGTTCCTATCCATTCAGTTCACCCTCCGCAGCCTCACCCTCGCCAACTGGAAGGTCTTCTTCGCCGTTTCTACGAACGTCGCCGACACCACGCCGCTGCCGCTGGCGCACATCCCCCGTGCGCCACATTTGACTCGTTAGCGGTGATTAACTGCGTCACACCAAGTGACCCGCGTCACGGTCTCATTAGTCACAAGAGCTCGGCGACGTTTCAATTAGTACCGCTCCAAGGAGGTGGCGTAAGAGGATGTGAGGTACCGCTCTGCGAAGACCACGGGTCCCAAAATCCCACCCTGCGTCATTCAGATGCCTCCGCCAAGCGTCGTCATCACAGCGTCATCGGCATGATATTTCAATTGTGGCGCGCCGAATTAATTGATTGATGATGCGGCGTGAAATAGCTGAGCGGCGGGGTGCACCTTTCAGTCCGGTGAAAGACTGAGTGGCCTGGTGAAGGAGCCCGCGCCGGACTCCTGCTGTGATCAGGCTGCTAGAAAGAGGCTGTCTGTGACCCTTTGACCTTGACTGCCCTTCACGTGCCGAAAGAGGAGGCCGAGCGTTCTGCTTAGCGTTGTTTGGGTGGGATGTGCTTCTGCCTGTGATTGGCAATGTGGAAGAACGGGGTTATGTAACTTGACTATGTCCATCTCGCTACTTGAAGTCACTTATTTGGCAACATTTTTGTGTTTGCATGATGAGGCAAACATTCCACTGAAACGCTTCTGCATGCTTCGTTAGGTGTTTTCAATAAATCACCATTTTTACGAGTTTTCCAAGAATTCCTTCACATTTCCATTGTGGGGCGTTTTTTTTTTTTTAATGCTTGAATCATTCTCAAGGCTCGGTCTGGTCCAGCTTATGGAATTGCTTTTCAGCTTCCTTTGATCCGCCTTTTACTCAAACCGACGCCGATTGAGGCATGCCATTAAATCATTCTTCTCTTTTCTGGAAACCCTGTGTTCTCGGGAACGGAAACTCGCTTCAAAGTTTCGCTCGTTTGAAAAGAATTAATTAAAACTGGCATCTTCCGGTAAAAAAAATCAAAGTGAAAACATCATCATTATACATACATTTTCAGAGGAGAGCGTTTCGAAAGAGCGTATCAACGGGAACATTAGGTGGAAGCCATTGCAGCGGGTCGATGCTAATTTCGCGGGCCATTCATCTTGGTCATTGTAGCGGCGTCACCGACCGGCGTGCAGTCAGCGGTTGCCGTCCAGCGGCCGAACATTTGTCCGCCGGATGACTCGAGTCCGACGCCGAGTCACTCGAGTCATTCAGCTCGTATCAGGTCGGTGGCTAATGCTCCCAAGCACCAAACACTCGAGCCACTGACCGGGCTCTCGCCACCCCGCCCTCCCCTCGCCGTGCCGCCGCTCCCGCCTCCGCCAACTGTCGTCCAGCCTTTCTTCGGGTCAGGCTCGACGCTGTTGCAACACGGCGGTGGTACCTAAGTGGCGGCGGTGTCGGGCCCATTGAGGGCCGCGTGCATCGACAAAGGACCGGCCAGCGCGCGGCTAATTGGAGGCCGGTGAATGGAGCGAGACGCCTGGCTGAGTCGGCTCCCACAGTTCTCGGCCGGGTTACAACACAGGTGTAACGTGACCGCCCTCTCAGAGCCCACTCCTGGCCCGCTTACCACGAGACCCAAACCCACTAAAGGCCAGTGGGCCAAATGTGGCTAATGAAACGAGGAGTTGAGCGTTACCTCCAATCAAGAACATACTTCTACGAGTTTCAGCTGTGGGAGTAAATTGTGTTATGGAGCTTGAATATGACTGCTGTCATGCACTTCACGCGCTCAGATGTAAATATTGCACTCTTCTTCTCGATTTTATATTTTCGTTATATGTTCTGCAGTGTCATCTTCTCGAGCGAGCCGTGCGTTATAAATGACGGCACCTACCGTCTCACAATTGATCTAACTGGGAAGAACCTGACGCTCAGTAGCATAAAAATAACGGAGCGCACGTCTAGCATGCGCACGCGCCCCATTTTTGGCATAACTGATGCACGATTTAAGACTACATTTGATGCTCTGCAAACGCGATGCGGAAAAGCCGCCTCTTTTACGCTTGTTTTACTTTGAAATGATCTGACAAGGTTCAGGGCACGATTGTGCAGTCGGCAGATAGCCTTACCCGTTCGCTGTGTAGCCGACTGGGATCAGATAGCGTCTCGTATTGGAGCACACACGGGCACCAGTTTCACGACATTTGAGTTCCAGTGCACCTGCTGAAAAAGGCTGGACCTTATGCGCCCGCGGGCTAATTGAATGATGGTGCAAATGATTTCATTCGGCGACTCCGCCCGCGCAGCTAATTTGGAATGCGGTTGTGGCGTCGATTAGGCGGGCGTTGCCGAGGCAGTGTGCTCCGGTGCTCGGCTCGGAACACGTGCTCCCCAGAGGGCTGTACCCGGCTATGCCGTTCAAAGCGAACCAAGGACAGTCCTGTGAAAGGGCCGCCCCTTGACGGTGGGCGGGCTTCAAAAGACGCCTTGCCATGAGCCTGTTTTGAATGGCTGACCATCAATTTAATGCTGTGTACCGGCTTAGTGTCGCGTTTATATTATGGGAAATATTAATAGGTGACACGTTGAAGGCCCAAAGTAAAAGTATGCATGTAACATGGAACACGAAAACCATGCCCTGAGTATGTATTAGAAAACGCCTTACCTCTGTTGTCAGGTCTCTGCAAAATCCATCAGAAATGCTGCAAAACCTCTGGCTGACTCCCCCCCCCCCCCCCCACCTATAAAGACAAAGCTAGCACAGCCATGACGATGGCTCATCAGCAGGTGCTAGTTGCCGAGAATCTCAACCAAATGCCATGTCCATCTACCTCCGCCGGCCGACACACCTCCAGACATCCCTGGGGTCTGCACTCGCGCGCCGCCGCCCCCGCCTGAGCCCGTACCGCCCACGAATTACCTCACTTTATGGGCGAATAAACGGACGGCTGGCCGACACTTCTGCAGGATGGACGAGCCGAATAACTCTGTCTGTTGTCCGGCGGTGCCTTAATCTGGTGGGCAGCCGGGGAGGCCCTGATGCCGGCCACCCATGCCTGGTCCCTCTCACCGACTCCTCTGAGCGGCCCGTCGGACCGCCCGCGCAGGGTGCCGAGAGCTGCGGAGGGAGAGACTGAAACGGTTAAAACGGTAGTACTCTCCGGAGGGAGGGCTAGGGAGCTGATGAGAATCGTCCGTAGGGAGGAAGACTGTTTTATGGAAGCTGCCTCAAGCGCTGCCGGAACCGGAGTAGTCTCCTAAGGGCTGTTGTGCTAGGCGCGAATAATTAGCGGACCCTTTTGGAAACGTTTTACGATTAGCAAAGCAATTACAAGTCGTTTATAACAGTTGCAAAGACGATGTGTCTTGCACGAGGAATACAGCTTGCTGAATCCATTAGGGGCCTACACTGATGTGCCATTACACGTATTGATCGGAGCATTTATGGACCTGATGCAGTAAATGGCGTGCGGCTCGCGGTGAACCATACGAACCTCAGCGCTAATCGCTCCTCAATGCACCACACTGAGCCATTCTTTACCGCACCTGTAACACTGACAATCACACTTTGTCACACAATATGAACGGCGGTCGAGTGATGGACGGTTTCCGTCGCCGCCTCGGCGTGCCACGTTTCCTCACAGTCCGCGTGCATTAGCTAACCCAACATAGCGCCGCCGAGCGTCGCCGTTTGACTAATGGCGTCCTTAGTGTCTTGATGAGCAACGCCATGTTGGCGTCCTTTGGGATAGGGCCGCGAGGTTTCGGTGAAAGCCATAAGATGTGGTTCAGAAGGCAGTGTCTGGACTGGTCCAGACCATTGGTGAGGAAGAACTTCAGCTTTTTGCATCATGTTTTAGTGAGACAAAAACAACGACGCCAAGTCATGTAAAAATTCAACTTTATGTCACTTCAGTCTTCTACATGATGCCTAACTAATCAGCCTAAACTTGCCCCCACTGGCAAACCGTCCCACCATCAGCACTGCTCTCCGGTGACCTCCCACCCCTCTCCGGCAGCAGCGTCGGCCGGCGCCGGCAGCGGTCTCTCCGGCGAGCACATCGGTCTGATCGGCGCTCTGGCCACCGTCATCCTGGTGCTGGTGCTGGTGATCCTGTACATCGTGCACCGGGTGCGCGGTCAGAGGCCCGGCACCCAGATCGTCAGCCAGCTGGCGCCGGCCTACACCCAGCAGCTGCCCACAGACGGCGGAAAGGTGGGTGTGCTTGGCGTGGTTGAGATAGGGTGGGGTTTCGACTTTCGTGTGTAGCGGTTGGAGAGAGGACTGAGGTGGTAAGCATGTTGATAAAAGGCGAAGTCCGTATTTACCATTCACGAATCTGTATTCGTGCGTGTTAGGATTATCAACATGAAAATGATTTTTGAAGCTAGCTTCCAGTCAGAGAAAGCAAGGTGGGACAACATCTGTGATGCCTCCATTCCTAACAGTTGCGGCGCAAAAGCTGCACCAAGACGCTTGCGAACTCTGGCAGTTGCCGTGCAAAACCGTATGAACCGACCGCGCACCGTACCGTACATGGCGCTGATGATTAGAGAAGTGCTGGATGTTGGATACCATGTCTGTTGGCCATCAAAAGTCAGTAGGTGGTCATCGTTCAACCCAGACAATTTCTACAATCCATTACAAGACGCAGGTGCGCTGAGCACCGGTTCGAGGGTTGTCTCTGCTGGTTCCAGGGGACCCAGAACACAACTTACTGACTGTTAACATGACTGGTAGGTGGTCGCTCTGGCCGCAAAACCTGTTCCATTCTGCAAATATGGCATCGCTCATGAAAAACGCAGTAGCAGAGCTGCGTGGAGCAAAGCGCGGTCGTCTGTCGACCGGTGGAGCCCAGCCCTGCAACATATGTATTTCTACTCGAAAGGGACACATTGCCGGCCTCGACAGCGGATGACATTTCACTGCGTGGGCTGCTGCACATGTTCGGTCCCGTGTTCTGCCTCCGTGGAAAGAATAACCGGAAGGACCGCATTGTGACGCGCTCACCGAGCCGAGCACCGCGTCATGTCTGCCGACCACCGTGAAACGAACGACATGTCTCAGCCAAGACTGAGCGCCCACTGACCCCGGTGGGAACGGTGCCGCGCCGGCGACTGGGGCATGTCCTCAGCTGGCCCGACATCTCCACATATCTCAGGGATGAGTAACACCTACACATCCGTCAGTGACATCATGACTCCCTTCAGTCGGACACGTCTGAGCGGCCGCCGGACCGGCTGGGAACCGGAGACCCCCGGTGCACTGAGCGGCTCATCCCACGCTCGAGTCATAACATCACTCGCTGCTGCTACTGTGCTGAGCATGCAACAAGGCTTCTGCTGAGCCATCGCCGCTGTCATCCGACCCTCGCTGCTGTCATCTGACCTGACTGCGCCACGTGCGCAGGACACGTCATCACAGCCCCGAGACGAGACGAGACGCGTCGCTGACGCAGTATGAATGATGCCCGGAAGCAGGGTCGTTCCAGACGACACATTGCAGGATCCATTGTTTGGCGGCGAACAATGCGCCTGCTTGTAAGGCGACCACAGCTCATGGAGATTGCCTATTTATGCGTCGCCTGATGAAATTCATCAGACGTGACGCCTCATTTCGAGCTTTTGTTCAGCATGCTACGGGGCTCTGCTGTAGATAGGATCCACCTCGCTGCTGAACTTCAACGCCGGTGTCGTACTAACGTCGCAATGCACTGCTCAACCTACACTGTAAAAAATGCTAACAAACCAGTTAGTTAATTATTCAAGCAAATGTTGAGTATCCATGACAGATTGGATAATGATGTAAATAATAAACCAATTAATACAAATCAAATATATTCAAAATACACAAAGCTTTCGGCTTAAACAGCCTTGATCACTGTGAGTTGTGACAATGTATAATCGGTACAACACAAATATTCGCAGTAACCGTCTAAGAATTCTTGAAAATAATGAATCGCGTGTTTCTTGTTTTACTAGCCAACTGCCGATTTTGCTGCCATCGATGACCAAGTAATGAATCCATTTCTACTGTTGAATGTGTCCCGTGTGATAATATGAGCCGCTTCCAGGATCTTTCTCGTTGATTTCTTCATGTTCTTTTCTAATATTTTCGTATTTTCCCAATCAGGTAAGTGGTTGCATTGTTCTATGTGTAGCACTATCGCGTTTGAAGTACGATGGAATTTTACGTCGCTTTTATGCTCTTTTAAACGAACATTAACCCCCCTTCCCGTTTCTCCAACATAAGTTCTTTGGCACCCCTTGCACGGTATTTCATAAACTACACTTTTGGCATCATTTATGTCTTCTCCACTTTCTTTATGTTTGACTATTTCTTGAATTTTCTTTCCCGTCACAGTGGCTACTTGTATGTCTGACTTTTCGAGTGTTCTTGATATGATGTCGATGTTCTTCGAGTTTGGCACTGAAATCCACCTTCGTTTTTTGTTCGCTTTTCGTTTTCTTGCAGTGTTCGTGTCATCATCTTGTGGTTGGTTCGCATGTCGTTCGTGTCTTCTGTTAACTTCATCGCTTTGCTGTTCGTTCGTTTCTTGCTCGTGTCTCTTGTTTTGCTCCTTTCTTCGATTTTTGATTTTTTCCGCCTTTTCTTTTTGTTTAATTAAAAATCCTCTTGGGTATTTCAGTTTTTCGAACGAAGCGTATATGTGATTGAACTCATCTTGAACAAATTCTTTGCTACAGATTCTTAAAGCTCTTAAAAAGAACCCAATCACGATTCCACTTTTTGTTCGTTGGCTGTGTGCTGAGTAAAAATGTACATAATCCTCTTTGTTCGTCGGTTTCCTGTAGACTTTGAATTTGAAACCTGTCGTCGACTTTATGATGCATGTGTCTAAAAACGCTATCTTTTCTTCTTTCTCTTCTTCTAGTGTGAATTGTATTTTTGGATGAACATCATTCAGTTTGTTCAGGGTTTCAGTCAAATCTTTTTCTTTCGGAACGATAACCAGTACGTCGTCTACATATCTGAGCCAAATTGAGTCGTCACCAATGATTCTAAGAAAATGCTCTTCTTCAAGATTTTCCATAAAAAGGCATGCAGCTACAGGGCTTAATGGTGACCCCATTGCAAGTCCGCTGTGCTGAACGTATTCACATCCTTTGTATGAGAAACAGTTGAATTTCATGCATAATTCGATGAGTTCTAAGTAATCGTTCTTCGGAAGAGGTAGTTCGTTATCGTTCATCGGTTCAATCACTTTTCGTATGGCGTTCAAGGCGTCATCGACCGGAACGTTTGTAAATAGAGACTTGACATCAAAACTAGCTACCTTTTTGTCACACACGTTCTTTACTTCTTTGATTTTGTCCATCATCTCCGATGTGTTCTTAATATGAGTGTCGCTGATGGATCCAAGAGAGTTTGAAAGAGGTTTTGCTAGTACTTTGGCCAGCTTGTGAGGCGCACTTCCGATTCCTGATGTGATAGGTCGCATAGGCATTCCTTCTTTGTGAACTTTTGGCAGGCCTTTCATCTTGGGGAGAGTCGGCGCTTCTTCCATCAAATGGTATAGCTTCTTTCCTTGTTCTGACCTTTGAAGAATTTTTCTGACATTTTTGTTGAAACTTTCACCTTCGGTTTTTCCATGACCCGGCTTCATCTTCTTGTAAATGTTTTCGTCATGAAGCATTTCTTTCATTTTGTCATCGTACTTTTTGGCATCCATGATAATTATTCCCCCACCTTTGTCTGCTTGTGTAACGACAATGCTTTCATCATCGGCTAATTGTTTTAGGGCTCTTATGTACCTTCTTGGTAGGCTACTTGGCTCACTGTCCGCTAATGCTTTGCAGCAGGTTAACACGCCTTGAATAAAACCTTTCAGCGATACTGCAAGAACATATTTAGAAGAAGCATGCACTGAAATCAAGGATAATATTTATGTTCTGAACGAACAAAGAAGCGGGATACGACTAACGAAGTCACACGAACTGAAGTTAAAAGGAATAAGCAACGAACAGCAAAAACGCCTAAAACGAAAACTGAACGACCTCTGCAAGAAAAGCAAATGGAAAGACGCCGGGAACATCGACATAGTGCGAAATTTTTCTTCACGACAACTCACAAACGATGAAAAAGAAGCTCTTGCGCTAGGACTCAAGTTTGACTCCGGCAAGGATAGGTACACGTTAGCAGAACACATAGAACGAAACTACAAATTCAATGAAAGTGATGCCGATAAAGGTTTTATTCAAGGCGTGTTAACCTGCTGCAAAGCATTAGCGGACAGTGAGCCAAGTAGCCTACCAAGAAGGTACATAAGAGCCCTAAAACAATTAGCCGATGATGAAAGCATTGTCGTTACACAAGCAGACAAAGGTGGGGGAATAATTATCATGGATGCCAAAAAGTACGATGACAAAATGAAAGAAATGCTTCATGACGAAAACATTTACAAGAAGATGAAGCCGGGTCATGGAAAAACTGAAGGTGAAAGTTTCAACAAAAATGTCAGAAAAATTCTTAAAAGGTCAGAACAAGGAAAGAAGCTATACCATTTGATGGAAGAAGCGCCGACTCTCCCCAAGATGAAAGGCCTGCCAAAAGTTCACAAAGAAGGAATGCCTATGCGACCTATCACATCAGGAATCGGAAGTGCGCCTCACAAGCTGGCCAAAGTACTAGCAAAACCTCTTTCAAACTCTCTTGGATCCATCAGCGACACTCATATTAAGAACACATCGGAGATGATGGACAAAATCAAAGAAGTAAAGAACGTGTGTGACAAAAAGGTAGCTAGTTTTGATGTCAAGTCTCTATTTACAAACGTTCCGGTCGATGACGCCTTGAACGCCATACGAAAAGTGATTGAACCGATGAACGATAACGAACTACCTCTTCCGAAGAACGATTACTTAGAACTCATCGAATTATGCATGAAATTCAACTGTTTCTCATACAAAGGATGTGAATACGTTCAGCACAGCGGACTTGCAATGGGGTCACCATTAAGCCCTGTAGCTGCATGCCTTTTTATGGAAAATCTTGAAGAAGAGCATTTTCTTAGAATCATTGGTGACGACTCAATTTGGCTCAGATATGTAGACGACGTACTGGTTATCGTTCCGAAAGAAAAAGATTTGACTGAAACCCTGAACAAACTGAATGATGTTCATCCAAAAATACAATTCACACTAGAAGAAGAGAAAGAAGAAAAGATAGCGTTTTTAGACACATGCATCATAAAGTCGACGACAGGTTTCAAATTCAAAGTCTACAGGAAACCGACGAACAAAGAGGATTATGTACATTTTTACTCAGCACACAGCCAACGAACAAAAAGTGGAATCGTGATTGGGTTCTTTTTAAGAGCTTTAAGAATCTGTAGCAAAGAATTTGTTCAAGATGAGTTCAATCACATATACGCTTCGTTCGAAAAACTGAAATACCCAAGAGGATTTTTAATTAAACAAAAAGAAAAGGCGGAAAAAATCAAAAATCGAAGAAAGGAGCAAAACAAGAGACACGAGCAAGAAACGAACGAACAGCAAAGCGATGAAGTTAACAGAAGACACGAACGACATGCGAACCAACCACAAGATGATGACACGAACACTGCAAGAAAACGAAAAGCGAACAAAAAACGAAGGTGGATTTCAGTGCCAAACTCGAAGAACATCGACATCATATCAAGAACACTCGAAAAGTCAGACATACAAGTAGCCACTGTGACGGGAAAGAAAATTCAAGAAATAGTCAAACATAAAGAAAGTGGAGAAGACATAAATGATGCCAAAAGTGTAGTTTATGAAATACCGTGCAAGGGGTGCCAAAGAACTTATGTTGGAGAAACGGGAAGGGGGGTTAATGTTCGTTTAAAAGAGCATAAAAGCGACGTAAAATTCCATCGTACTTCAAACGCGATAGTGCTACACATAGAACAATGCAACCACTTACCTGATTGGGAAAATACGAAAATATTAGAAAAGAACATGAAGAAATCAACGAGAAAGATCCTGGAAGCGGCTCATATTATCACACGGGACACATTCAACAGTAGAAATGGATTCATTACTTGGTCATCGATGGCAGCAAAATCGGCAGTTGGCTAGTAAAACAAGAAACACGCGATTCATTATTTTCAAGAATTCTTAGACGGTTACTGCGAATATTTGTGTTGTACCGATTATACATTGTCACAACTCACAGTGATCAAGGCTGTTTAAGCCGAAAGCTTTGTGTATTTTGAATATATTTGATTTGTATTAATTGGTTTATTATTTACATCAATATTCAAGCAAAATCTAGTATTAAAACACACGTTGTTGCAAAAAACGGGTCAGATAACACATATGTTTGCAACCTAACACCACATCCATTTCATCGAAGCAGAAAAGCTAACATCAATGTATGCCGACAAATATTATCCGTGCCAACCATGCCGTGTTATTTGACAAACATGTTTGTTTATGCTTCCTTTGCCTTTTTTCTGGGTTAACGTGTTAACTAACAAATCAAACGCATGTTGTAACTCACAATCTTAGTTTTCTTACTACTCTTTTTGTTGTAGCATTACAAAGACCTTAGTTAATTGAAAAAATCGCCATTTTGTGCGCCCCTCTGCGCCCGCCATGTTCAGTCTGTGCCAAGTCAGAGAAGGGAGAGGACGTGTGCGTTGTGAAGGAGCTGAGCTGTGGCGTAGTGTTGCGTGTGCAGTATAAAGAGCTGCTGTGGCGTTAAGAATAAGAATAATAAGAAGTCAAACAGTGAAATGATATGGATTGTTGGACATGGCTTTCATCCTTACTGGTATGGTGAGTGATTATGGGAAAGATCAGTGCAGATATTGCTGGCGTTTTAGTGTGGTTTATGTATGTCACTCATTTTCTTTTCAATTGAAGCTCCAACCAGGCTTTAGAGGGTCTCAGGTTGGAGACACTGTTCATTTGTTGACTGTCAATTGACGTCTTTAAGTACATATGACGGACTGAACAATGAGCATGTTGCACACTAAAACCGCATTAAGCTTTGAACAAGAAACTAAATGTACCTAATTTTTGGTTGGGCACTCAACCAGTGAACGCGGTGAGGTGCTGTTTTATGCAATTCCTGTCACTGCACCCATATTGTCAAATAAAATTTTTGTAGACGCATGAGCCAACATTGTTCGGTCAGGGAATTTTTGCCCTTTTATTGCAATTTAGTTTACCCATATCGACAGAAATGAAGCATTCTCAATGTTTTCGTAATAGGTATTTGAAGCCTGTACTCGTATGGTGTCATGGCTGGTGCGGATTCCTGCAGGCTTTATATAGGTAGTTGCAGGTGTGAATCAGTGCAGATTTGTCACCACGACCGGTACAGATTACCGACTGATTTATGACTTTGGTTGGCATGAGGTTGGTTGCGTTGCTTTATACGTTGGTTTGAATAAACATCTTTGTGTTTAAATACTCGTCTGTATGATATTTTTTTTTAACAAAAATTTCGACGCGTGTCGCAACACGGTGTGTGAAAACGCACAGCATGTATATATACTGTAAAACATATTTGCACGTTTCGAGTCATCCTGGCAAATCTCACTAACCAAATGCGTGTGACCATTTCGTGAAGCCCTCATTCCATCATGAAAACGCGGAACCTCGCTAATGATATTTGCCTGGATAACATGTGCACATGTGCAAATCTCGGCAGAAACTTGTGAAGCTTACTCACATTTTGCGTGTAAGCGTGTTTTCTTCTGTGTGTGTTATGTAACACCGAAGTTAGTTATCCTGCAACTAGGCGATGCCTAGTTGCATGATAACTAACTTCGGTGTTACATAACACGCAAAAAAGAAAACACGCTTACACGCAAAATGCTAGTAAGCTTCACACGCTTTTGCCTAGTGAGATTTGCCAGGATAACTAACTTTTTAGTTATTTTACACGCATAATATTAGTACATTAACAGGTAGATATTAGTTAAGTAACACGGTCACACGCAAAAGGCGTGTAGGTCAACACCACGTCAAAAACTAATGGCTTAGTTTCATAACACGTTTTTTCTTAAAAGCGTGTTATATAAAACACGTTTGGCCAGTAGATGCGTGTAAACTTTACACGCTTTAGGTTAGTGAGATTTGCCATGATAACACGGAAGTTAGTTAACATTTTTTACAGTGTAACTTCCGGTTTGATTCCGGTACATATTTGGCACTTCCGGTTCATGGACATCGTCACTGCGGCGTTCCAGTGACGTCAAACGTTCGAGACCGCCGACTGCGACCGTGCCTTCTGATAAGCGATGCCGCCCCACCCCCGTCGTCCTAGGTTCCTGTTGGACGCGTTTGTCGGCGTGAAGACGCTGATGAGAGGCGACATTAGTGAGACGCCGCTCTTGTTCGGTGTCCGTCTGATCTGCCCGCCGAGACAGATAGCTTTGGTGACGACCGGTCCTCGCTCTGAGTGGGCGGGGAGGGGTGAGGGTGGGTGGTCACAGGACCGGGTGTCATCTCCCGCACTTCAGACGCCGGATGTGACTTGTAGGTTTTGGTGAAGAGCAAGGCCAAGTGGAAGCCGCCCTCGAGCTAAACCAGTGAGGACATTGAAATAGGTTTGCATGTGGTAGTGGTGGAAGCCAAGACAGTTTAGTCAAAGGTTACCTTAAATGTGTAATTCCTTTGGAAATGCTGAAGGAAATGCTAGAAACGACTTATACCTAATAAAAATAAAAGGTACGATCAAGCATCGCTCAAGTTACTTATACCCGTTCCGTACTGTATATGCCCAATATATTCAATGTTTGATATGTGATGGATGCAGACACGGCACGGTTCTAGATTTAACAAAAATATGATTCACTTACCCCGCTGGCTGATATCCTCCATAGCAGCTGGTTGTAAAATCGGCCGTCTGGCCATCAAACCAGTCCGGTCAGGTCACCGGCAGTGGGTCGGATCAGGGCGGCCGGCCGGTGTCCCGTTTGGAATGCCGAGCACTGCCGACTGTTTGGTGATTCCCGATCAGTCCCGCAGTCGCCGACGCTCCCGGAACATAAATCAGGCCGGTCCGCTGTGGAGGGGCACGGGTTCGGTCAGCGGAGATTTCGACCTGACCGGCACGAGACTGCGATGAGCGGCAGATGCGTATCTCAGCCCTTTCCCGATGTTGTGTGGAGAATGGTCGTCGGTCATTGCCTCGCAGACTTTCAGCTGGTCCAGTCCTGGACAACACAGGGATTAGAGAAACTGATGCCATTCGGGTTCCACTCGACGGGGGGGGGGGAGAGCTAGCTGAATGCCTCGCTCAGCGCTGACCAGGCGGGGAGGTGGATGAAGGACGAACTGCACCCTGTCGCCAGCTAAGCGGCGCTCGCTCCAGAACGAACTCGCCGCCTTTTGTTCCGTTCAGAGCCCCGTGTCAAGCCTATCGGCGACCGTTGTCCGGCCACTCTGCAGAGCGCTGTATCGCGCGCGTCGGAATGGGTGCACAGTGCACATTGTGCAGCGTTTACTGAGCACACCGCCGGCCGGCCTGATCTGCCCGAGCCACTCACCATTTCGGACACGTAGAGCGGTTACCGGTCTAGGCCGATACACTGCACGCTGCGCGCGCGCCTCCTCCTCGTAAGGGATTGTGCAGCGCTGCTCCGTCAGTTTAGCCGCTTATCCGACCACGGTATGTTGCTTATCCATATGTTTATCAAGCTGCCTAGCGGGCTGTTTTTGTGGCTTGTTTCCACTGTGAATCACTTTATTCATCCGAGTTCTGACTCAAGTGATCTAACTTGTCACTTCCTGGCCATTCATTTCTGACTTGGGCTGTCTCATCATGACTCTTTCGTTGGTATTTTTGTTTCTTGTCTCCCTTTGGGCATCCGTTCCATTATAGTGTCAGTTCCCATGAATTCCTCGTCTTCCTTAGGTTCTCGTATCCTCCTCACCTTGCACGTTCGGTGAGCCCCCACTGACACTGAGCCCCCCGTTTCCCTCAGACCGCGCTAAGTGAACAGTACGCCGAGTCGGGGTACCGTACCCCATACAGCGCCATCTGTGAGAAGTACGGAGAGCCGCTCAGCCCCGGACATTATGCAGGTGAGTTAGATATCGGGACTTTTGTTACAATGTTACATACGCATCTTAGTTAGGGCAGACACGTAGCTTCTATTAGTGAGGTGCGTGGATCTCATTTCTGCACGATCTCTGGGCATTTATAATTGCATAAGTATGCAATTTATGCATTCGGGTTTATTACAGTCAGGCTATGGGCTCATCGCTGCACTTTTCTGCAGCGGCGTTGAACAGAAACATACCCGCCGCCACTCGTGGGCGTCAGGTGAATTTGTATGCGTCCCGGCCGCGTCTGGGAGCGATTTATCGGGGCGTTACCGTCCTGGCCGAGGGAGTGCATAACACACGGGCCGCTTTATGAGCGCACCTTTTGAATGCGGCGGCGCTAACAGCTCGGTCGCTTTGTCTGTGTGATGAGTGGCCAGGAGGTGTGGTGCCCTCCCGCGCCCCTCGGGCCTTCCTCGGGTCCGGACCCCGACGAAGGCCCGGTGTGGGAGGAACTATGGCGCGGGGACACGCGAGGGCGGGTGAACCACAATGCCGCCGGTATGTCTGTGTGGCATCAGTTCATAGCTCACCGGCACGTTAATGGTGCAGGACTGCACCAGAAAATTATTCTGACGTTTTTGGGAGGGGCGTGCCGTCGCTATGGACACCTCGGCAATAGCTGCACTACGACTGGCGTGCTCGCATTGAATTGGTGCCGTAATGGTAAACGGTAATTTAGAAACGTCTTGCAATACCCATGGCGCGTATTCAGTGTCATTTTCCTCCGCTACGCCGCCTTTTTATGCACTCAAAGGCTGTAATTCAGCCACTTAGCCGGCATATATTAGCAATATATACGTCATGTGCTCCTACGAGCTGTCCAACCAGGCGGGGCAGTATCGCATCAGCTGACCTACACTGTCTAACTCATCGGAGGTGCAGGCGACCCACCCAATCCGTCTCTAAGCGCCAGTTTAAATTTGGGCGGGCCGGCTGGGGGAGGAGCGGATGCGCTGTTTTATGCGGCGTATGGAGTCAATAAGACTGATTTATGTGAGCGGTGCATGTTGATGAGCTCCTATGTGAAGACTGGGTGGATGGGGAGGACGGTTCTTGGACAGATTTGGGTGTTTGCGCCTAATGCCCCAATATTGACAGAGTCAGAGCAATGAGAGCTGTCAAGAGACCAGAGTTGTTCGGTGCTGCGGAGGCGTTGAAACCGCGCAGTTTGTCAGGACTTGCAATGTCTCGCGCGGTGGTGCAAGTTGTACAGAGTTTGCGAGTGACGGAAATTCAAGTTGGTCTAGCAACTGTTGGCCAAAGCTGTCAACATATAGTTGCTGACCTTCTGCGAATATTATACATGACATTTGGCCCTCGTGTAACTTACTGTCGCGCACTGAGAAATGCAGTTATATAGCTACTGTCTTTTTCGCGCATTTGACCGACAATATTGGCCGTTTTGTCAACCCCAGTATGCCGTAGCCCATGTGCACTGTGCAGTAAAGGAAAAGCTTAAACCCCGCAGGACAAGTTGTATGACGATTATTTATGCCACATTCGTTTTTCTTGACTGGGACTGGCTAAGGTAACTCTGGGTCGTGGTCATAAATGTCATCTTCATGAACAGAGCCTTGCAGCATTTCAGAGTCGTCTGCACGACAGTTCACTCTGGCCCTCAGACGCCCGCACTTGATGACGCTATATCATAACGCCAGATAACGGCGCATAATGCAAATTTATCCGCCCGCTTTGCAGCCTATCTGAGGAACGGATGGTCATTCGCGCTTGTGCTGCACCAGGAGCGCGTGCCTTTGAACGGTACCGTGACGGCCGTCATTCGTCTTACACACAGAGCTCGCAGTGTGTTTAGGGACCTGCTGCGACCCAGCACCGCACAACAGTTGTCTGTCGTTTACAGCTGGTTCTAATAACCTAATTCACGTTTTTTTCTTTTTCCTACACAAATCGAACATTTATCCCTTCCTGCGCCTTTCATGTCTGTCGTGACGTTATTAATGACAGTGACGAGCCACCACACTCGCTGCCGTTTCTGCCACCGCTCAGCTGAGATTATACGGCGCTCAGGATTCACGATAATGCACCGGGACGCCCCTGTGTTGGCTTTTCGCGCGACAGCTGATTTATGACGTCAAAGAAGCGGAAGCCGGCTGCCTTCGAACCTCGGAAAAGTGTGTTCTGAAAAGGCCGGTCGTTAATCGCAGAAGTTGCTCCACTTTCTCGTAAATTGAACGGCAAGCCGTCGATCATCACTGAGGAGGGCAGGGAGTTCGCCGGAGGCCGGGTCCACGTGGTGTCATTGGTCGTGGATGACACCGAACTCCGAAGGGATGACATCGGCGTAACATTGGTCAGAGCCGTGTAGCTCCGTACCTAAATCACTGACATTCCTCCAAAAATTGTTCATATAGAGCATGTTCTTGCTCTTACCTTTGTCACAGAGGAATTCGGTCAGCCCTCCAAAAAGGTCTCACCTAATGTTTACGTCGCAATTCAAATGATTTTCAGGTTGTGCAGGGTTGCTAGGATATTGGGGGCTGGGGCTAAATGTGAAACGGCATTTTTATTTTCAATCCTCCCTAACGCATTCTTCACATAGTTATGCATTTCATATGATGGTATCCACGCATTCATGCCCATTTCAAGCCATCTGCGTTTGAATTGGCACCAATTCTAACCGATGCATAAATGTATAAAGGCGTCCCCTGCCACCCTGCACAATTATCATCGTTTCCATGGCAACAGAGTCCCGAAGGGTGGCACCGTCTTTTCTTCGAGACCGCTGGCACGTGGATAAATTTATTAACTTCACCCCGCCAAATCGATAAAGACGACCGGCGCGCCGGGTGGCGTACACGGCGGGGGCCTTATTGGCCAAATTGAGGCGCAGCGAGCCGCCGTGCCGCCGGCCAACTCAGGAAAACAATAGCATCCGACAAGGAGATGTATACCGCGAAACGGGCAGTCAGCCGCTATGGATCGCTCCCGTCGGGGGCTGGGGGCAGTGTGCGGCGGGTTCGATTTGTGGCTGACAGTCAGTGCGGCAGCGGACGGGGAGGGACGATGACAGGCGGAAAACGCGGCAAACTGTGGGGAGTGCGAATTTTGTTTTGTTACAGGCTGGCTGGAGTAAAAGTGGAATGGCATTGATTGGGTGAAACGAACGCGTTCTACGTTTGCAGGCCTTTTTTTACTTGTGCTTAGTCGTGAATCTCGAAGACTTTCTGTTAAATCAGTCACTTGTTTGCCGCATAATCCTCGGAAAAAAAACAGCCTTTCTCGGCCCCTTAGTCTTTAATGATGTAAAAGGACCTTTTACACCAACGGTTCGATTCACGAGTACACCAGCGTGTGCTCTGAACTCTGTTCGGCTCTTGGAATACTCCGTCAGCTGTGGGTTCCCGCGGGCTCCAGAGCAGTGACCCGATCGCATCCGAGAAACTCGGGCTATTAATAACGTTCAAATGGCCCGGGCGAGCGACACTGTTTGCATTTCGTGCGTGAATAAGCGGCTGGTCGCCGTATATCACGTTGCATGTTGTGTTGCTAATGATGGAGTGTCGCGAGTATTCGGCTCAAATGTATCGCACCGCTGACGACCGCACTGGGCTTAGACTTGGTCTGGATGAATGTGCGACACTCAGGCGCTAGATAGGGGAGAGTGGTGCAGGAGGCCCCCCCTTAAGCTCAGTTGCTATTTTTAGACAACTGATAATATTTAAGAGCTAGCGTGTGCATGCGCTGTGAGCATGCATCATTTTCCCATACATATTTGCATTCAAAATGAATCTAGGGGGTACACAAACCGTAAACTTTAACATTTTGGAAAAAGTTGCAAAAGGGCCTCTTACACTATGGGTATGGTAAGACCGCACCGCTGGTGTGACCAGAACATGGTCTATTCTGAAGCTAACATGTGACAATTTCGATGAGATAAGATTGCATTTGATAGTCATTGTTTTTTCAGATATATAAGGGTGATAAAGATGCATATATCTAGCAAGTAAAGGGGCAAAAACAGAAACAGGCTTACCAAAAGTCGCTGCGACGCACCTGATACCTCAGGTTTCGTGAGTTGTTGTTTCAAGAGGGCTTCTGCTTTACAAGAACATTAAAAAATAAATAACATTATTGGTTTGGTAAAAAAAGCGATGGGGCCTCTTACCGACCCTGGGCGTCTTACACGGATCTCCCCTATAGTCATTATGCAATCATTTTTGTTTGTGCTCGCTCCTGTTTGGGAAAGGTGTACAAATATTGGTCATATTTGGTGTGAACACTGCTGTGAGCGATATCATAAAAACAAAAAATATGATGGCAGTGCAGTGCCCAACAATCAGCTACCCCATATTGTCCGTCTACGTTCCTTTCAATGACATGCCCATGTAGCATTTTTGACAGCCGTTTGACCTATAGATGCATCACTCTCCTGCCGTCCTCTGACGCTGTCATTACTGACCGCACACCTCCTCCCGACAGACTACCAGTCGCAGGACTACGCCGAGCCGCTGATGACGCCGCCGCCGCCGCTGCCGCCCGTCACCAACAGCCCGCTCTCCTCCTCCAAGAGACCGACTCTGGCCCTGGCCGACAAGCCGCCGGCCAGCCCCAAACTGAGTCTCAGCCCGCGCCTCAAACACAGCCCCAAGACGGTCAGCACGTTCAGGAGACAGGCGGGAAGTCCGGTGCTGGAGCAGCACTACGCGGCGACAGATATTTGTAAGGTGAGTATTTCTGACCGGAGACGGATAAAACGACAGTTGACATGGATCTAACTGCGAAGTGGGTTTACTCGTGCGATATGCTGAATTGCCTCGGTGTCTCGTTTTATGCTGCGCTGCTTAACAAAACGTGACCAAGTTGAACAATTGAATATTGTACATTTATTAAAGCTTGCTACGTCTTATATTTATTCTTCCGACAGGTACCGATGAAAGCAGCGAACTTTTCCTTTAGGGAATTGTTGCAATGTTTCGCAGCTCTTTGTTAGTATACATTGCCTGACTTGTTTACCAACAGCTCAGTGAAGCGTGTCCAAATCACAATTTCATTCGGCTGTTCGGCATTCGCCTCCGGGGGCGTCGCTCCAAATAACATAACTTCTGGGGAGATGTTCTCGCTGTCTTCAGCAGTTTTCTAACACCTTTTTCTCCGTGTGTGTTTTTTTCAGCCTTCGGACTACCATCTTGATGAGAACTTCCCGATGGACGAAGTTGAGGTGCCGCAGATTCCACGCCATCAGCTGAAGCTGTGTGAAAAGCTCGGCGAGGGCCAGTTTGGCGAGGTATGTCCGTCCGGTCGGCGCGGCTCGTCCGTCGCCACCACCCTATCCCTTCTCCGTGGGAGGCCACAGCTCCTGACATGCACCGCGCATCCCGAGACAAATGGACGTCATTTGTTCAGCCGGACGCCTGCCCACCGCAGGATTCACCGCAAAGCCTCACGTTTTCGATGAACCCTGAGGAGTCTCGCTGAGTATTATGAGACCCTCTCAAATGTTCCACCGCATGCCGTTGCTGTACGGGACTGTTGGACATGGTTGGCCAGACGATGCAGCTGATGTGTGCCAACTGCACCGTCCTACCGGTCTGCCCTCTCCGTCCGTCGGTTTATCTTTCTCAATCCGTCTCGGGTGGTGACCGGTGAGATCACAGAGCTGACTCAGCCGACCGGGAGAGATGCACCCCCCGGTAGCTCGAGCTGTGCGGCGCCAGCAGTACCCGTTCGGTCGCTCGCCCGAAAACAAAGCTCTGCCGACGCTCCCCGAGCGCGGCAGGTGATCCGTTCAAATCCAACCGCGGAATAAATTTACAATTTGATACGGACGAGTTACGGCGGCTGGCCGTCTTTCTTTGTGTTGGGCTTCACTGCAGAGTCACATAAACTTTAGGTATAGAACGTCTGTCAGCGACGGCCACCAGCTGCAATGCAGTGAATTGCTAGCTGTGAGTCACAATGGAAAGTGAAATATTGAGTGCAAATTACCGACGGTATTTTAGAATGAATTATGCGGCATATTTGTCAATGTAATCCATTACAGGCCTGAATAGACAAATGTGGGGATATACCACTTGTTTGGTGATTTATTTCCACCCTCAGCAATGCAAAACGAATCGGCTAATGGTGAAATTATCTTTCTTTTTGCATATTTTCTTCTCAGTTGGGATCTAATTGGATAAATTCGTCACGATGCCCCATAATCAGGACACGCAGCCGGCGGTGCACAAAAACTGTTCTTCTTTTTACCGGTGCCTCACGTGCCCCGTATTCCATCGGCTCTCCTGCAGAGCGGCAGCCAAGAGCAGATCCGCGGATTATTTGTCGCTTGCTGCGCGCTGCTGAGTCGCGCTAAGGCCGGTGCTGAGCAACGCGCTCAGGTCACATGACGGCGACACAAGGCGGCAATTCACCGGTCACGTGACGGTCTTGCAGCGGAACGCACTGATCACGTGACTTTATGGCCACAGGTGCAGCTGTGCCGCATTGAGGTCGGCGCCGGCGGAGACCTGGTTCCGGACGTCATCGGCCCCGGCTGCGGCCGACTGGTGGCGGTGAAGACACTGAGAGCGGGTACATCGCCCACCGCACGGTGAGTCAGAGCGTCCAGACACGTCTGTTTGTCTGTCTGTGTGTGATTCTGTCTGTCTTTCTGTCTGTCTGTCTTACTGTCTGTCTTACTGTCTGTCTGTCAGTCTGTGTGTCCCTGTTGCTTTGTCTCTATGTTTGATTAGATATTATACAGCACGTTCTGGACTTTATCGTCGCGTGTTGCTCTGTTCTTCGGAAGATTGCCGGCGACCTATAGCGGAAGACACAAAACCTGTAGGGACTTTCGGGGTGTGTTATTGGCTCTCTATGGAAGTTGACACACATGTCACGCGATATTGAGCGACATCGACGCAAATTGCGTGATTGGGTCCATTTAGGCCAATAGGAGAACTCTAAAAGTCTAAATGGTTTGGGTTATTTGTGTTTGTGCATTTTGATAAGCCTTTGGGGACGATGAGGTACAGTAATTGCTGTTTTTATTACCTTTTCGTTGTAAACGATCGCAGTTGTCACTGTCTCGTCAGCCGATGTTTGTCCCTATTACTGGCATGCTTTTTCCCCCGCGAGCCCAACATATCTGGCCAGCACCACCCACGTTCCCTTCGCACTCACCCTCCGTTTTCACCGCCTCTGCAAGGCCGTCCTTTCCGGGGCGCCGCGGCTGACACGTGATTCTCGCGACAGCTGTTTCTCACAGACTCGCACTGTGCGGTGTTTTGGTCACGCTGCAACTGCACGTGTCCCGGTGTGCGGTGGGAGGCGGACCACCCAGGGGGAGGGGCCCGACTCATCTCCCTGTGTGGCGGGCGGGGCTGGGAGGGGAGGGGAGGTGAGGGGGCGGACGTCTCGAGATCACCGCCCGTGACATCAAAGGCTGTCGCCGAAAGGTGTTCCTCAGCCGCCGCCCAGAGTATTACATAGCGAACGTAGAAAACGAAAATTTCATAAATAATTGACACGGTTTGTAAAAGGGAGACAATTAGTTACCTCCCATAGCTAGTTGACTGCATCCAAAGCTACCTCATGCATGTTTTTTGATCGTCTAGATGGCTGTTATTCTCACACAACCGATGTTTTTTGGGGGTAAATTAGAGGCAGGATATTGGCTGTTTTCCGAACGATTACTCATTCTGAATAGCCCGCTCGGAATTCGTTTTAGGCCCAAAAACAACTAAATGACGTGACATCCATTGATTGAGCTTGTGTTTTCGAATGCTGTCATTTGTTGTCGGATCATTCACGGTCTTATACTTTCCGTTCTCCGTTCGTTATTCACTGCATTCGTTCTCCTTCCTTTACCTGAACGTGCTTTACCTGAGTGTACGCTCATCTGTGCATAACAAATTGTGCCCTTTCCGCCCGTATCTCCCTAATCTCCCTCAATTCACCAAGTATCGTGTGTGGCCCGTCCGTTTGACATTTCACGGCGCCCCGGACGCCGCGGAGGTGCACGTTGCCGTCCGTGGGCCACACCTGGCCTCACCGGGCCGGGCGGCGTATTGACCTGACCGGTACCGGCGGCGACACCGGCGGCGGCGGCGGCATCAGATCGATGACACCCCTCCCCTCCCCCCCCCCCGACACCCCACAGGGCCGACTTTGAGCGCGAGGTGCGTACGTTGGCCCGGCTGCAGGACGCCAACATAGTGCGCGTGCTGGGCGTGTGCACGCGAGATGAGCCGCTGGCCATGGTCGTGGAGTACATGGAACACGGCGACCTGAACCAGTATCTGCAGCAGCACGTGGCAGAGACGGCGCTGCACGGATCTGGCAAGGTGCTCAGGTGAGAACGCGGGATAACGTGGGCAGAGGGGGAGAAGGCAGAATGAGTGGGAGGACATGGCCCGGATGTCGGAGATGTGAAGGCCGTGCGGAATGTGAAACGGTGCGCTCATGGACCTCGGAAAGGGCACAGCCCCGGAATGGCAGAAAATGTTAATAGGTTGTTAGATGCGCTCCATCTGGAATTGAAGGTCACCAGCTCACTTCAATGCTTTAACAAGATTAAGGTCAACTTCTATCCAGTTCCATTTTCTGTTATTAGCATCAGAAATAAGAACAAATCGTTTCAATCCTTTTTCAAGTGAATCAAACCAAATAATTCCGCTCAAGTTCACCTTATAGCCGCCCTACAACTCAAATATTCTGGAACTACATCCATCGACAGAGTTTTACGCGCCAGAGACGAGGTCTCCTCATTCACATGGCGAGCGACTGGCGCAGTCCGGCGAGGTCAAAGGGCTAATGCTGGTGACCCAAGGCGGGCGCCTCACTCCAAGTTGGGTGTGACTCGTGGCGTTCGATGGTCCATATTTCGCAACTTTGGCCGTCGGACGCCGATCCGGCCGTCTATGGACGCGCCATCGGTCGGTGGGACGTCCCATCAGTCGGCGGGACGCACCCATCAGACGACGCGCGTTTGAGGCATCTAGGACGGCTGGTGGTAAGAAGAAGGAACTGTATGAGGCTCTCTGTCATACTGAGGGATATGAGTAATGGGGTTTGAGCAAACGGCAGTGGTTGGCGCAGCTGGTGATGCTTAGACACGCTTTTAGCCGCTTTCGATGTGCTGAAAAAATGTTTGCTAGGTACACTGGGATGGTAACACTGCTGTCTGCAGTGATTAAAATTCTAATCTATATGTTGGTTGAGCTAGTAGGTAGGCATATGCTGTTGCTACATTTTTACATTACAAGTAAAATATCGCGCTCACAGCTACACAGAACACACGACCGACCATCCTTTGGTATGCATAAATGCATACACATTGACTTCTCCCAGTTATATCTCAGCACTCTCGTGTCCCTGCAGTATTTCTGTGCCGTCTACCGCTCCAATTCAGAGCAGCTCTAAATCAGTCGATTGATACCCGCGGCCACATTTGGCAGACACTTCTCTCCACTAACCATAAAGCTCGGTCGTGCAGGAGCAGACACGTGTCACGTTGACATGAATGGGGCCGTGGGTGAGCTCCTGCCGCCGACAGACACTCGACCCGACCGCGGCCCTCCCGATTGCCCCCGGGCGTTATATTACCGGCCGGGATGGACGCTGATGGGCGTCCATTGTCTTCCCATGCGTGTGTCGGTCTGTGTGTGCCCGGGGGTGGAGGAAAGGAGTGCTATTGACCGTTCGGAAGGGTTGCCCGTGCCGGGCGCGCTGGTGTGTCGGCGGCACCGCGGCCGGGCCCGCTATTACAGAAGCAAACACTGCCCGCGCCCGGCTATGTGTGATCGGAGCGGGCGGCGCCGCTACAGAAGCACGAGTCAGACAGCATTCCAGTGCCGCGCGATGGCGAGCCGCGCGGCGGTCTGATTAATGCCGGCCGTATTTGTGACAGCTCTGATGCAACGCTGCCGGCGCGGTGTGATTGACCATGACTCAGTGCATATCGATACCGGCCAAACGGCAGGAAGTGATGCAATGGAATGTGATGCCACCGGTCGGCGCCTGTGTCAGATGTATGTCCATGCATATTCGGCTGACAGTTCGTGCTATATGATGCTCAACAGATGTCACAGTCTGTTTCTTTCATCTTTTGTTCGTCAGTCCCCATTACCAAAACGTGCTTGTGTCCACAATCAACATTTTTAGCGATAACTTTGTATGTGGCTTTCATCCTCCTTCCTTCCATTCTCTCATTCTTCCCCCTCCCATCCATTCTCTACCCCGCCTCCATTTTCTGTTATTCCCGCGCTGTTTCTTCCTCTTTTTCTGGTCGGCGGCGCGGGTCTAATTTTCGCCCATCATCTGTTGCCGCCCCTCAGCCGCGCCGATCGCTCTGGTGTGCCGCGCGCGCGCGCTGCCCCGGCCCGGCGCAGAGCAACACCGGTAATAGCAGCATACATCACCTCTGCGCCACAGCCGTTTATCATGATTTACGACCAGAAACTCAATCTGGCCGTGGCGTTTTTGATGATATTTTTGTCGTCTGTTTCAGCTATGGAAGCTTGATTTATATGGCCACTCAAATCTCCTCCGGCATGAAATATCTGGAGTCCCTCAACTTTGTGCACCGCGACTTAGCCACCAGGTGAGAGTTCTGATGGAGTACCCAGCCCTGCTGAGACGACCAGCTCCAGCGAACCCCGAACAACGCCGCAGGCTTAGCCGGACTAGTCGATAGTTTCCAAACTGACAGGCGCTGCACGCTAGAAAATGCAGCGTTTTGCGGTCTAAATCCGGAAGCCGGATGGCTGAGTTGGAGCTGGTATTCTCTGTGCATGCTATTGACCAACGAGGGGTTTTCACGCGTTTTGATGTGATGATATTTGATCATTTCTATTTTCTTGCGTGTGATATACCTAAACTATTGTTTGTAGTAAAACTTTAGGACAGCCACCACATATCATTCTTATTCGGAAGCATTTGAGTCGATCACGCCGTCTGCAGCTAGTCATAACATATATTTCTGAAGGCATCGATTAGCTTATCAATTTTCTATAGGATAAACCTTTCGGATATGTTTGTAAGCCACACGAAATTTTCCCCGAGTGCGTGAGTGAGCTCGTATGTAGCGCCGGCGGTCGGCGCTGCCCGCGTGTGGCCGTGCGTTTGTCCCCGTGCGCTGGGGTCGGTAGGCTGCGTGAGGGCTGCACCCGCACCCCGTCCACACGTCACGCGGTCCGGTCGCTCAGGCCGCTCAGCTCGCGGATCAATGGCGCCGCGCTGGGGCGTGCCGCCGCCCTCTAACCGGCCACCGGCGCGCGCCAGGTATGCCGCAAACAGCGCACGGAAAATGGACCGAGAATTCCTACCGGACAGCTACTGAAAGTTTATGAAGTTCTGCAACGGAAAAAACAACGACGACGAACATAAACCAGTTAATATGGTGTCTTCCGGTCCGGGAAAATTGTTCTGCATACCACAGATGTGGTGGGGTATTTGTTTATTTTTATTTTATCTTCATAAGCCACCACTTAGGTCCAGCAGCTGATAACTAAACCCAGCCACACCCGGGATCTACTTAGACACACAGAACGTGACGTGCCTTGATCTTCGCTGGCACAGACGTCATATTGATGCTAAAGCTTCCGGCGACATTTGATCCCGGGCCAATTTTAGAGCACGCCTTGCAACGGCACTGTTATTTTGCAAGCTGGATGTCAAGATCAATCCCGGGAACCTTTATCATTCGCATCCACACGGTCGCTTGTTTGTTAATTCGCCTGCGATAGCTTGTGTCGCTGCGGGCCAAATCACTGCCCCGGATCAGACACCGCTCGACATGTGACGCTGAGATTCCCTTCCTCGCGGCGGGATGCAGATAGCCTGCCGGGCGCGTCTCCAATCGGTCCCCAATCTCTGCATCAGTTCTGGTGCCCGCCGGCGCCGGGCCCGTCGATCCTTTCATCCCCCTGCCACGGTCTGGTGCGTCCCCACACAGTTTACTCAGGCCGTCCCTCCCTCCCTCCGTCGGTCGCGGCGCGTCGCCGGTGCCGCGCGGACGGTCGGCGCGTCGGCCCTCGACGGCCCAGTTCGACGAAGTCGGCGGCCGGCTCGAGTTGGAGGTCGGAGCGGCGGGGGAGCATGCAGATGGGGTATTGACGATCAATGGCCGAGCGGCAAATGAGTGGTCGACCGCGGTCGGGCCATTCATCTGAAGCGGCACGCTGTCGGCGGTCTAATTGCACGTCAGACGGCCCGCGGGATGACGACAGCAGTCTGGAACCGACTCATGGAGTTCGGGATTAGCTGAACCATTCCATGCTGCATCTCGTGAGATGCCGAGGATAAATTGTGCATGGTTTTCAGTAAGAAACAATTGCTGTTTTATCTGACTCTATGACCAGCGTGTTTAGTGTTTACCTATTATTCAATTGCAAAGAAGTTAAGTCTTCGAAGCCTAGCTTTTTTGCAGCAAATAAGCGACTTCAACTAACAGCGTGCGTGATCATACTAAATTGCATGATGCTTTGAAAACATCACCTCCAATTGTAGTCGAGAAAAATGTTCTTGCCACGACGGGTGGCCGGTTGAAGTAATGACCTGTCGCTCTGACCTCACCCACCCGACAGGCTAATGACTTAACGTGGCCATTAGTTATCATTTCCTAAGGCAGTTGGCTGGCAGGTGCTTGCCTTGCACGTTGCGTGTCATGCTCGCCACTTTATATTTTAAATTTCGACGTCTCGCTTAATTGGATAAGTATTGTAAAAATGCTGTAAAAGTCTACGGGCCACGCACCACCTAAATGTTTCATAGCTGAGCGTGCAACATGTCAAACTATCAATAAACTGAACTGATACCCGCCTCAGCGTGCACGAAACAAGACCAATGAACCGCTAATGCGCCATGCGAATTGCCCAACAGCGCACGAAGCTGACACGCGTGATCCCATACGATCACGACAATGAAACTGAACGTTTCAGAGCTGTGCCGTGCCGCTAACAGCTCTGGACAGATGCTTCCACCCTGCGGCTGTCGTTGACTGAGTGACCCTGCTGATCCCTCGAGCTCGGGAACAGCAGTGATGGCTGCTCCGGGGCAGGATTGAGCTGAGCGATTGCCCTCTTACCTAGTTTACCTCTGACCCTATCGTGTAATTGTCCACACTCTATACACAATTATATGATCCATATCATTGCACACATTCATTTATAACCTCGCTCGTTATTGTATTGCACCACTGGCAAACAAATCCACTGTCTGGCATGCTGCAGTGCTATTGGAACTCAAAATCATCTCAATGAAAACACTCCTGCTAAATTCCTTAAAGAGGCATTGCTATATTTTTCACACCTTGTAGCTCTAAAGTTTCGATGAACCTCACCGTGACCTGATCCCTGACGTGACCAGCGACACCATATGCCCGTGCCCCAGCGTCCCTCCTCCCCGTCCTGATCTCGTCCACGCAGCTCGACACGTGCCCTGGGGCTAATTCAGCAGCAGTTCCGTATACTGTCACCACCCAGGAGATCCGGATCAGGCGCAAAGCCGCCCAGGGGCTCGGGTTACGCCCCGGGATTATTCATGAATGGCTCATACAAGCTAGTTTCATGTCTTTGCATGACATAATGGGATGTGCTGTGAGTAAATGTAGACATCATTGCAGATTTAGCGGCATGGCTCATATAAACTAGATGGAGCGGATGCTTTGGAGAGGTTGTGCAAGAAAAATAATGGAATGGTGATCCCTGGATATATGCATGATCACATGATAAGCCTGCATGTCGTGCTCTTTAATGGAATTTACAGGGTCATTGAAAGTCATTTTCAGAGACCCCTATTTATGCAGCTGGTCACTAAGATATAATCTTACAGTGTTTCAAGACAGTGCCCATTTTAAGCAAACTAATTTAGGACAAAAGCAAAAATATTTGTTAGGTACATGTGATGTTTTATTGAGTCGAATGAAATAAATTGCTACCATAAAGCTAGCATAGCTTAAAACTTCTTTATACAAATGTTATGCCTAACGTCCAATTATCGATGCGGCTGAAACGCGAAACGCGAAGCGTTCTCACTCACAAAAGCATACCTAGTGACGGATATAAAATGCTCTTCCACCTGTTCTATGCTGTGTTTGAGGCATCACCAGAGCACCAAATCCAGTGCCTGCTTTCGGTATCACCGGTCTATTTTTACCATTCCCCTGAAATATCCGCGAGCTCTCGGCTACGGACGAGCCAGCGCCGGGTGGCTCGCGCTGTCGCCAGGAAATTGCCAGCGATCATCATCTCTGGGACGAGGAAAAGGTCTAATGGAATGCATATGTGTTATGGAAGCTCCGGCGTTGGTCTGGGTGTCGCGTTATCGCAGCAGGGTGGCCCACCCCGCGGAGCCGCAGCTCCAGATATCACCGGCTCGGCGCCGACGGCGGCTGCAGGTCAACACTCAACATTTCACGCTTTCCGCTCGAAAAGCTGCACACTGAAAATAAATTCACACCCGCTCCTGGTGTTTACACCTTTTTTGGAAATGTTTACACCCCACCGTTTTTGAGCACCTGCACAGGTGTAGTTTCAACACCAAGCTTTGGTGTAAGCATACACTGAATCCTGGTGTAACACCAGGCACATACACTGGCGTATGGCGTTAAATCACTGTAAGTACACCAGTTTGTGGTGCTACACGACGTCTTTACACCATAAAAAGGTGCTACACCATTAATTTGCACCTTCCTTACGGGTACAAAACAAATACCCTTACACCAATGTGTGGTGTTAGTAGCCAATTGGGTACACCCTCTTCCGGTGTTGTGAAGGAGATACACCGGTGTTTGGTGTAGCTGCAGCTCGATGAATTAATATATATATATATATATATATATATATATATATATATATATATATATATATATATATATATATATATATATATATATATATATATATATATATATATATATATATATATAATATACGTGTGCATGGGTCTGTGTGAACATATGTGACAAGTCCATATGGGTATACTGTGGCTTGCCTAGACCCCATACAAAGCAAAGCATTCCTTAAATAAAGACAATTTATTTTGTAACGTCCGAGACGAGCAATAAACAAATGTTATTAACAAAAATTGCGGCAACTGTGAGTGGCGCTTTCTCAAGTGCACGGGTGGTCACCGGACTCTGCTGACAACATACCAGACCAGACATTTATCTCACACTTATTTATCACACTTATTTATCACACTTATTTATCACACTTATTTATCACACTTATTTATCACTTATTTATCTCACACAGGGCTACGGAGTCGATGGATTTTCGGCGACTCCGACTCCGACTCCGACTCCGGCTTTCAAAAACCAGCTCCGACTCCGACTCCGACTCCGGGCAGAATTGTCGACTCCGACTGACTCCAACTCCCGACTCCGACTCCGCAGACCTAGCAGGGCTGCGGAGTCGACAGATTTTCGGTGACTCCGACTCCGACTCCGGATCGGGTTTCTAAAAGCGACTCCGACTCCGACTCCGACTCCGGTCACAACTGTCGACTCCGACCGACTCCGACTCCGACTCCGACTCCGACTCCGCAGCCATAAATCTCACACCACCTCCAGTCCCCACACAGCCCCGCATCACTCGACTCAAACTGAAGCGCGAATCAACACGCCGCCGTTCATTTGAATTTACGCATGTGCACGCGCAGCCTCTCGCGCTGGCCGGCGGCCGGCTGACCTTGAATCCAAGGCCATATCCGATCCATGGTAACGGTGCTAGTAACACCGTTTAGAGATCAATGAACTGGGAACTACACCATTGTGTGGCGTATGCGATATAACGTCTCTGTCACGGGGTGTTGATACCAAATGGTGGTGTTATTTATCCGTAGCGTCGGTTGGTCTGAGGTGGCATTGGTGTTAATTGTCGGTGTTGATTTTGAACACCGAGTAATTGCACCATTCTTCGGCGTTACACCCCACAGTTACACAGTTGAGTTGTGTTACACCCTACCAAAACGCCTCTCATTGGTGCTTTTTTTCGTGTCACCGGCACGCGAGTGTTAATTTATTTTCAGTGTGCGGATGCTTGGTGAGGATTTGTGGATTGTTGAGTGTTGGTGCATGCAGGTCTTGCCATTTGCCACGATGAATGCCGACTCTTACGCAGAACAGATTTATCACAACCGCTACCCTTTTGCTATTGCTATTGACCAGAGGTATTGTTCGAATCAATTTGTCACCGCTTTTCGACCTCGAGCTTTGACGGAGCCGCCCAGCATTGCACTAACAGCACGCAACGGGCACTGAATCAATACCACTTGACTGGAATCTAAATCACCATTGGCTGCAGTCTGCCGGGCCGCTCGTATATATCACTGCCAGACATCGGTCTTCATCCGTGACGTCCAAAACAAGCGGCCGCCGTCGGCTACCAAAACAAGCGCGCGAGCGCAGACCGGGCCGGGCCGTTCCCCTCTGCACACACAAAACACACGTCCCGTCACCGCTGTGTCAACTCCTCCTCCCAGCACTCTTATATGCGTCCCTCTCATCCATCCTCGGCCGTCCGAGTCCTCACTGTTCAGTCCTGCCCTCCCCAGTAACACCGGGCTTATGCACCTCTCAATCTCTGCGATCCTCCAGCTGTAAAAACGTGCGCGACCCGTCACTCCATCTATCCAGCCATCAACCGCCCTCTTATCTATCCACCCTGCCCCTGTCCAGCACTGAATACCGTCCAGGCCGTGGGGTGAGCGCACATCGCTCCATCAAAGGCCGCCTCGACACCTCTGGTGTCCCTGCTATCGTTCGATGGTCGACCGAAGACCAGGGCGCTCATCAGGCTTCTCCTGGTACCCAGAGAGGCGCCCAGCTCTCCAGGAGAGGAGCCCACTCCTCCCCCAGGGTCACGTCTTTCTCCGGGGTAGAGGCGGGTGTTCACGGCGCTGCCTAGGGGAGGGTGTCGGCGCTGGCAGCTGCACAATGGGCCGGGGAACGGTGCCGCATCGATGGCCTCTTCAGCGCTCCGGTACAGCCGCGGTCGGTCGGGCGGGTACAAAGGACCGCTGACGACCGGCTGATAGGGTGCCCAGAACGGAAAAATCGACACCCAGCAGATACACGATGGCGGGTAGAGCATATTTAGCCCGGGTAATGAGAATGACCTTTTCAAAGATGGCTGTTAAACCTATAGTTACAGTCAACTTCTATCCGTAATTCAGACAGAGCATAGCACATTCTATGATATTCCGAATGAAGCCTAACCTCACCGTCTCTCCTGCAGGAACTGCCTTGTTGGCCGCGGTCATCTGGTCAAAATCTCCGACTTCGGCATGAGTAGGAGTGTCTACGCCAACGACTACTACAAGATCGAGGGCCGGGCTATGCTGCCCATACGCTGGATGGCCTGGGAGTCCATCTTCTTGGTGAGTGTCACCACCACTGCGTTTCATTGTTAGACGATGGGACCTACATAACTCATCAATAATGTGTTGCACTTGCAGCTAGTAATGTTTGTTTGTATTTCCTACATAAGACATCATCAAACAAAGCGAAAGACACCAGCTCCAGCTCTTCGTTTGCACGACACATGCTCTCCAAGTTTCTGCATTTCCGCGCCCAGTGACAAAATATCGCCACCATTTCCGGTTCCCCACTCACCCTTTTTCCGGAAATGGCAGGCCATTGGTGCAGGCCGTTCCATTACACGACTCGTGTGACGTCATTATTCCCATACGTCATCCGAGCCAGCTGCCGCTCTAACCGCTCCTCCATAGATATCGGCCATAACGGCGCACTATGGCCGTCGGGGCTGTTTTTTCCGCGCGCCGAGCACGGGTCAACGACTTTATCGATTGCAAATTGCCTGCGTGGCGCGCCGGAGGTGCTAACAGCCCCACTAGGTCCGCGGGCCGTCCGAGGGGCTCATTCCCGGTATTTTATAGCCGTCGGAACAGACGCTGGTCGGCTCGCCAGACTGCGGCCGACGCAGATAAGTCGACCACACATTTGGCAGCCTTCGACAGGCCGGTCGGCAGTTTGGAAGAATATCGCTCCGTGTTCGCCGCGTGGCGCATGCGAGGCGATACTCGGCGCAGTCGTGGCCAGAACGAACAACTCTATTGGAGCGGGACCTATCCGGCAGTAGGTTACCATTATGGAGACGTGACTGCCAACGGGAAGCGGGCCGCCCACTTCGGCGGCGCCTGCTGGCAGTCGATGAGCCGAATCGGTGCTTAGTGAGGGCGAAATCACCTAATGGAGGCCGTCTGTAGCGGCCGGAGTGCGCCGGTATGTCAGTTGCCGGCGGTACGGTACTGCTGACCGGTCACTGGGGCATTGTAATGGTCCGGCGCCGGTCTCCCGGGCTGCTACTGCCATCAGCGCCCGGCAGCACGCTATTAGTCAACTGCGCAGAGACAGCAGACACAGAATGTCAATATACGTTGGACTGAGGTATGCGGACACCGAGGCATGGAATCGTGCGGGTTATTGGTAGCCTGCTTGAATGAAACATAATTGTGTTTACATATTTGTCTCTTAGACCACTAATCAATACGGAATTACTAGAACAATGGTCTTCAACCATTGTGCTGCCAACGACAGCTATTACTCTTGTTGACGATCATCCAGTCATTATTTTCGTGAGTTATACCAGGCATGCAGACGCCGCTCGTATGGTCGAGTAGTATTTGCTGAAGCATTTCTCATTCGCCATCGTGACAATGACGTAGTGAAGATGATCGCCCGAGCTGGTGTATGCAAGTGCATGTCCCAAAGTATAGCCTGGCCTGACATTGGGAGCAGTTGTGTTTCTATGTAAAATAACTTTCCTTCAGAAATTATGAAATCAAGACTGATAATGTAATTGACCGTATAACCAGTCACTGTGCAGTGTGCAGCTCCCCAGTCTCCTCATTCCGACTCTGCCGGTGACTAGTACTTCCCAACACCTACTTCTGGCAATGTGTTTCTCACTCTCCCGTCTCTCGGCAGGGTAAATTCACCACCAAGTCGGACGTGTGGTCGTTCGCGGTGACCCTGTGGGAGGTGCTCACCTACGCCCGACAGCAGCCGTACGAGGAGCTGTCCGATGAACGGGTCATCGAGGCACTGGCGAGACTCTACCACAACGACGCACAGCAGGTGAGAAAAACATATGTGGAGAATAGACAGCGCCGATGCAAACTATATCGCAGACTATACTGGTGGGACTGGAGGCACCTACGACGATAACTCGGTTGTTGTTGTTTTGTTTGGTGTTGTTGCTGTTTTTGTGGGACTCGTAGAGCTCACAGAAACTTTCAGAGAAGTTTATACATTATCGCAGCATATGACTTGCACCTGCGTTTCTTGTTACCGGTGTTTGGCAAGGGGGAACGGCTCTCTTCTGTACGACAGCCTTTTCTCTCGCGAAGTGCTCTTGCATTGAACGAGGTGTGCGTATGATATCCGATTACGGCGGCCGGTGTCACTTTATTACCACACGAGCCGGGAATTTTATGCCGACTATCGTTGGCGGCACTTTCCCTGTCATCTGCCAGACGCCTGCTTGTTGCTCTTCCGCACTCCCACGGGCGCTCAAAGTTGCCTGACAGCGCCCCGGGCTACCATTTCTGACGGCATTCAGCGCGACGGCTAAAAGGTTTCTCTCCATTCGGCGGTGCCGCTGTGCGTTTTTATCGTTCTCCAGTGCCGCCCCCACTTGGCTCGGTCCAACTACCGGCTGATCCCGTCCCGGTGAGAGCTCGTATCAAATCGAGCCTCGCTCCGTGGGCCGATGCGCCATGACGGAGGCCTGGAGGCGAGCCAGGCCGCGCGACAGAGCGATTCACGGCGGCACAGAGAGCCGAGAGTTATCTAAGCGGGACAGAGCCGCGTCATAACTCCTCTGCCGTAAATTTGCTAGTCAAGAGTTGTCTGATTTATTTGAAATGCGTACTAACTACAAAGTCGCCTGAATATGCAGTGTGACATCATTTTACACACAAATTAAGCCGATGGTCGTTGAAGAAATGATTCCGTCCAAAATGACGAACGCAATGTGTAGAACAAATTGTGATGACAGTCTGCAGTGCATAGTCATCAAATAGCTTAATGTCAGACATTTTCTACGAGCTGATTCACGTTGACAGAGCGGCAATGTCTGAGAATAGTAGAGACGGTGTTCAGGTCACGGAACAACTTCAATGAGTGGCTTGGGTCGCCGCCCGGAGCCTGGGGTAGAGGCAACAATTCTTCCACGTTGGACAGTTAATGTTCAGTGCTGCGGTGCCAAACAGTGGGTACGGAAGGGGGCCTCACGAACAGCGCAGCTGGGCACGACACACCACGACAACGGCTGTACAACATGGGACGGTACGAGTGACATGAACAGCACATTCAGCAGTCGGCAGTGCTAGCCGCGCACTGCACATATGGCGCTTCCACCGGGCACGGCGCAGCCCGGGGACCTCCCGAGAGCCACCACCGCTGCTGCTGGGCCCGGCGAGCCCTGTCCAGATGGCCGGTCGCGCACCCCGGCCCCAAGAGACCGTCTCTCTCGCCATCGCAGCGCTGCCACCACCACATAAAACAAAATTATGGAGATTCTGTCCGGCGACACGGGCCGCGGGCCGTCGGCGGCTCGACAGGGGAGCGTCGGGGCCGTCGGGGCGCCTCAGCTGATTTGATATGGCCGCCGCCGGGACCGGGGAGCCGGTAACGACAGGGGCGCGCGCCTAATGATATTTGTATACCGGCGGCATTGATGGAACAATGCATTAGCGCTCGGCCCAGCCCGGCCCGAGAACTAACGGGATAAAGACGCCGGGGCGGGTTAGCCTCCCGTGGGTTCGCTCGAGAGGGTTTGTGGCCGGCCGCAAAACTGGTCGATAATCGTTACCACCTGGAGGGCTGCGGATCAGAAGGAAATCGAGAGAGCGAGGGCGAAACAAAGCTAGGCGACTTCGGTTCCAGACACGTTTGGATGTGTTCGAAGTTTTATACAAAACTGCATAAAAATTGAAGGCTCTATCAAGTACTGGCTGCCCCACTGCCCCCAGCTAGCCATTTCTCGGATATGAATCAACCCTGATCATTTGCAGCAATGGCTGCAGGTTCGCGAATGCGATGAAAGAAACAGAGACGTGGATGTGGGGAGTCTTTTCTTGGAGAGCTTTCATTCATTTTGTACAACAGAGCGCCCACCGGGGAATAAATATTGGAAAGTAATGTGGATAAATGTGACTGCATTCGTCGAGATCTGCAGCTAACCGCTCCCTTCATGGCCCTCCTGACTGGCGGTGGCTCGTATGGCGCCAGCTGCCAGTGGAGCCTTTGCCGTGTCGGTACCGGGGCGGCAGTGTGTCCCATGGGGACCAGACCAACTGAGCTATCGGCACCGGCCCCGGTCCCCGGTCCCCGGTCCTCGATCCGGTCTGGTCTGGTCCGGTCTATCGACCGCGACGAAAGCGACGCACGGACAGCGGAGGCCAAAACGGTGCAAAGCGGCAAACGCTGCATGTTGGTACAAAGGCGAAGCGATGTACTGAATGGAAGTGCGTTGGTTTCTTCACAAGTGATGGGCAGCGGATCTATAATGGAGGCACGTGTAACGACTAACGACATATTTGACAGGTCTTTAGACCCTACGTATTTGTACGATGCATGTATTTACCTGTGAAGAAGAGCTCTTTGTTTTTGTGTTACCTTTAGGCTTTAGCGTTTGGAAGTTTTTAAGCCTGACGGCTGATAGTGCGTTCATACCAGTTCCACTGGTGTGAGGTAGACAGCAACAGGGTAGCTAAGACGCGCTATACGTGGGTGTTTGAATGAGGTGTTTTGAAACTTATCCAGCTCCGTTTTCACGCTCCACGGAGTTCTTTGATGAGTTGGACGCCGCGGAAGACTCGCACGACGCCGGCCTTCGCACGCGTATCGCGGCCGAATCTTCTGGCAGTGGACCCTGAGCCAAGGATAACTGGTGGTGTGATATCTCATTATTGGCCTGCCATTTTTAAGCCGGCACGCGTACTGCAGCTGCCCGTTTCAGATATCCCTGAGGCTTTGTGTTGTCACGGGCGGAGGATGACATCATGAGATGGATTATTTCTATAGATACCTATCTGATGCGTTAGATTGGATAGGTGTTTTTGACCCGTTGCAGTTAATTGAAATAGTGGTCATGAAAACGTTATGATACATAAGGGCTCAACATAATGGGAAACTACGCATGTCGCGCGTGCTGGGACCTTCTGCTTCCGATTTAATGGCATCCAACTTCTCTCACTTCGATTCCGGCACCGCTGGTATGGCAATGGCAAGCATCAGTGCCGCATGCGTGCGCAGTAGTTACACCATGCAGCTAATGCATTCCGCTGGCCTTCTAGACCCGCCAGGCCGGTGCTGTCGGCAGTGGCGGCACGGGCTGTGAATTATCGCCCTGTCGTCATTAGCACCAGCCACCGGTAATGGCCCATTGATGTATCGAATTACCAGCGATCCAAACACTGCCGCGCTGCCGGCTCAGGTAGCCGACGATACAGGGTGTCGGCTAGCAGCGGTTGGTGGAAGGTGGAAGATGTCCAGGGCTATCGCCGGGTGTCCCTGTGGATAATCTTGTCACAAGACTCGTCAGCCGACTGTCGTCGTCAATATTTTCCGTATCAGCGCGGGGACGATTAATGAACAGGTCACATTGGTTCTGGCGCGCCTCATCTAAGATTCAGCACGTCCCACGGTAGCTCCCACGGGCAGCGGTGCACTTAGCGCCCCCACCTGGTCCATTGTCGTCCTACAGATATGACACACGACACCTCCGACACCTCTGACACCTCTGACACCCACCGACCCGGCGCTGGAGACCCCTGCCGCCGGCGATAGCCGCTCTGACCCCTCGTAATGTGAGCTGACCCGTCGGCGCGATATCGCCACCTGAGAGGGCAGAGACTCTCCTGGGAGCTGCGTCGGCCTCTCCCCTGTCTGCGGTCGGCGGCTCCCCTCGCGCGTGTCTGCGGCCCGGTCCTTGGAGACCGTCTCCCTCGTCCCGGACCGTTGTTGGATGGCACCTCGTCTCGCGCGGCTATCGGCCGGGGAAGAGGCGGTGTATCGTGTTTGTTCCCGGGCGCCGAGCCGGTAATGCCTCCGCCGGAGCGTGTCGTCGCCTGTTTGCCCAGGTCGGCGGCGGTGTTTGCCGTGCGCGGGATGGCTGGACGAAGACGTCTCGGCCGGCCGGCGGACCGCCTGTAAAGAGCGCCGTCCGCGACTTTACGAGGCGCCGCCGCCGCCCGGGTGGCGTCGTGGCGTGACCGCGCTGCGGCGAAATGAACGCACACGGAATGGTGTGGGAGGCTCTTACGGTATTAAATCGCCCAGAAGATGAATTCCTCGTTTTCCGAACGGTGACAGTGCTCAGGTGGCACGGGTCTCCCGCAGATGGAGTAATATCGCTAAAGTAGTAGCTCCCTCATTCGAAGTAACTTCTGTTACGTTCTTTTCGTACAGGTCAAACCGGTGACTCGTGAACAATGGACGTGTGTGTTGCGTTGTCAGTTGTAAGTACAACTCCTCCCCTTACCATGGATGGCCAGACATGTGACAATTGACGTGCCACCTGAAGTGTGACAGCTCGCTTCCCTTGTGTTGCAGGTGTTCCTGCCCCAGCCGCACGATTGTCCGAGAGAAATCTACGACCTGATGCTCGAGTGCTGGCGCCGAGACCCGATGGACCGGCCAAACTTCCGCGAGATCCACCTGTTCCTGCAGCGGAAGAACCTCGGCTACCGGAACGAGAACGGCTCGTGATTCGGTCGCGCGTAGTCACGAGATGCCAGGGCCCGCCCCGTTAGGGAGGGGACCCTCGCCGGTGCTTACTCGCGCGCCGAGAACCGTGCACGGCCAGAGGTGGCGCCATCCTTCTGTGATATATCGGTGGGCAATACGACTGGGACGAGTCCCGAGGCTGCTAGTCATTGCATGGGACGCGCCCCAGGCGACTTCACGAGCCCCTGCCAACCCGCCAGACGCCTAAACGAGCGATGCTGGAGCCCAACTGACCGGAGGTGAACGGACAAAGCCCCGTGGTGACCGGGATGTGCTCCTCGATGTTGGGGCGGGCACGGGACATCTGACGCCTTGGGTCGCCTCAGGCGATGTCTGGGTCGCGTCAGGGTCAGGAGTCATGTCAAGAACCAGTGACCCCGTGAGCAGAACTGAGGGCCTGATCGGGATGAGGGCCTGCGTTGGGACGACAAGATCGTGAGCTTGTGCGGAAACGAACGCCGAAATGGTGATTGACGAAGCCCAAGCAAATATGGGCAATTGAGAAACTGGCGTGAACTGAACTTGACGTGCACCGAACCGCTGCCTGTTCTTTGTACAGTTTGATAGTGTTTCTACGTGTACCACCGTGCTTCATACAATTGGCAAGAGCTGAATGAGATTGCTTTTAGTGCCTGTGTCATTTTATATGCTGAACTGTGATTATTAATAAACATATCCATGCGATACTGTATGTGCTTTGATATACACTTCCAGGACCAGTTAATTTCCAATCGTGTAACTGCGTGCATTGTAGGTCCCGATTTCCTTAACCCGCGCCCGGCTGGGGGTCCTGGATTTCCACGCCCTGCTGGGGGGGGGGGGTGTTTGAACACCCCCCCTTGTAACTCGGCTCCTGGGCCACGTAGCGATACGCGGAAGGCGGCGTTCGAAAGAGCGTCAAAAATAATGACGAAATCACTTCGGTCAATTTTTTGGTCAGGTCAAAGGTCAGGTCACCAGAGGTCATTGAAGGCAAAATTTCGCCGATTTCCAGGTTGAATGTCGAAAATTTCCAAGAAGCCGACGCATAACTCGAGAACCAATAGAGCTACAGCGCCGCGGAAAAGCGCATTCGATAGCCCTATTAAAGCCCTTTCTGAGTAATTCTCCCAGATTTGACCTAACGTCAACGGTTTTGCCTGCAGGGGGCAAAAACTGCAAAAATAGCCGATTTTTTCGGAAACAGTTTTTCTGCAATAACTTTTGACCCAAGCATTTTACGAGCTTACTTTTACCGGCATTGTGTTCCTCTCGTCAAGACGCATCGAATGAACTACAAGTTGACCTTGAAAGGTCAACTTGAAAATTTGACCTCAGGTCAAGGTCATGACCTGACCGGAAAGGGTCATGTTGCATATCAGTCGATCCGTATCGTCGGGCTGAACACATCTAAGGCGTTTTCATCGCTCTAGCATGCCTCTATCAAAAGTTATTTGCGAAAAACTGTTAGATACCATTCGTGACCTAAGATGACCTCAGGGCATAAACAAGGGTCACGGACACCATTTTCATGTTCAGTGTGTCTAAACCACTTGTAATTCGGTGTTTGGGAGTGTTTATAATGTCTTTTGTCCAAAAGAGGCGCATTTCAATTTTCTCCCATTGACTTATAATGGGGAGGTCGCAAAATTGACCTGACCTTAGGTCATCGATATCAAAATTCTGAGATACACATTTCGTACATGCTATTGCTCTTAGCAATCGCTGAAAGTTTCAAAGCGATCGGTCACTCGGTGTAGCTATGACAGACATTGAAACTTTTTATGAGGTGAGGTCACTTCAAGTGACCTGGTGACCTGACCTTGAATGACCTTGGTCTGAAATTTTCACAACATGTGTAGAATTGATGTATGATAAGGTGTACCAAAAACGGCGGCGCTCCGCGCCGCCGTTTTTGAGATATTCGCGAAAAACCACAGGGGGGGGTATTCAAACACCCCCCCCAGCAGGGCGCGGGTTAAAAAGCGATTGCAAACATGTGTGTGATGTCCATAGATCTAGGAATGTTACCGAGATGTACATAAAGAGGTCTATATGATGTTTGCTAAGCCGTAAACGGTACACAAGGCACGCTGTTGCACATTTATACCTTTGTGTACATTGGCATTGATTATGTAGGTAGTTGATTGGTTGCCGAATTTATCATTAGTTTATGTCAGCATTTTATTTGTTACGATTGCTAGGCCTTTTATCTTATTTGCTAAGATTGTTACGCCTTTGAGAATCCTCTCAACCAATCTTTTGTTTATTTTTTTTCACGTTAATCGTGCTAAAATATATCCGGCTTTTGAAATTTAATCACTGCAAATACCATTTCCTCTGACTCTGGACGGGCAAAATGATTTCACAAAGTGGCAAACACTTCAGCACTTTTAAGCTGAGAGCTTTTCAGGGTGACGCGCGCGCGACGTCTGGCGCTGGGTGGATTTCTGTCTCCGGTGGCGGTGGCGGATTCTCCAGCCCGTACTGCGTCATTCTTCCAGACCTGATGACGGCCGGTCGGCGGCCGCGGGCTGCCGCTTTTAATCAACTTCGAAGTTGCCACGTCTTTGTATTAATTAATGAGAAAAGGAGGATGAATATGTGACGGCAGTGTGGCTATTTCTAGCATGAGACGGTGACAGTGAAGTGGTGAAAAACTGCTTCTCTTTATCAGTCATATAAGTCGAGGGCCCAAACATATCTGCATAGTATATACCGGGACCATCAGGCACCTTTTTCTTTTCTTTTCATTCCTATCAAATCAGTCCCACGGCTTCCGTCCCATAAACACAACACTAACGTGGCTCTAACCTCCCCAAACCCTTCTAGCAGCCCTTCCGCCGCAAAGCTGCAATTTGTTTTCAATGAAGCCATCGACCGGGCCCTGGGGGACTGCCGGACGGTGGCGGGGCTTGTGCGTGCCTGCGCGAGCCCGCGGCAGGAGAGAAGGACTCTCCCTCGCCTCGGGCCGGCCTGGACCCGTCGCGCCCGACCCGGCCCAGGACTGATTTGATTTGATATGATCACGGCCGTTCCGGCGAATGGATTGCGCTATAACTCTGGTCGTGGCTGAGCCTACGTCGTCGCCGGCTTAGTGTCTCCATTATCTGGCGCTGGGGCCGATTTGTGTCTCCATATAGTGACAAGATAGGGGCGGATTCACGCGTAATGTGAGGCGAAAAAGACGCGCCCAGAGTTTAATGGCATCAGACACATCAGTAGAGAGGCAGTGTGCCGACGGTTATTTGAGGACATGCAAGAGACCACCGCTCAGAATGATGAAATGGTCCGGTTGAATCATCTGCGCAAGTTTTATGAACTGGTGATAAGCAGGCGTCACCTTGTAATTTAATGTCCCATTATACAACTACATAGACGACAAAATGAGACCATTGTTCATTAATTTGTTGTATCGATGAAATATTCCCGACTAATTGATTCGGCTATATCATTTCCGCACATGAACTGATTGATATGTGGATTCGCTCGCCCTCATGATCTTTATAAGGCCTGCACCGGCCGACAACCAACAATTTCCACATGTCAATTCAAGCCCATTTAATTTAAGCCCAGTTCCTCACAACGTATCCAAGCCCACATACCCAATTGATGAGATGGCTCGACGTTGCATCCTACTCAGATGTATCAGAACAATTTCTTTTGAACTGACTTATGAGGTATTGTATAGACAAAAAACAACGGTTAGTATGAAATATGGACAATGGAGAGTGTTCGGGGCCCATTCCGGGGTTTGATGACAATGTGTTGCCCCCTCCCCCTCCCCCGATGTATCTGTAAACTATAGCTAACCCAGCTGCAGGCAATGTTCCTCTAACCCTGCCGACGGCCTGTTGACTGTCATTCAGTCCTCCCTCCACCCGCGCTAGTCCAGTCCGGTCACAAAGCCCATCTGCCCCCGGACCGGTCAGCATTCAGCCGTCTGTCGTCCGGTGTCGGTCCAAAGCTGACCGCCCGCTCCGGACCAGTAATTGTCCACCGGGGGGTCCTCGGCGCAGCGGTCCACCTGCGGGGTGTCCCGGGGGGACAAAGACCGCGAGCGCGCCGCTGTCACCCTGCGCGGGTGTAAATCACCCCTCCGTGCACCCCGCGCCGCGCGACACCCCACGCCCAGCTCCCAGCGATGCTCCGCATTCCACGCCCCGGCAGCGACAATTACAAATTTAAAGGCGCTTTGCGTTTTTGTGGGAGCTTTTTGTGGGCGCCTCGTAACGACAGGAGCGGGGAGGGGAGAGAACGGGACGGGAAGGGATTGGATGACACGCCTATACTGTGGTGGTGGACGCCCCAAAGTCAGGAAGTTACATTTATCACGACTTCAGAGCTCAGACCGTTGAGGGATCATTAGAATCTGAGACGAACGGGCGGCTAGTGACCTGGGATCTGCCAGAAATGGTCCTTGAGTCACCCATGGCTCAGTTCTGGGGCTATTCTATTCCCGCAGTGACCCTCCCGCCTGCAGGTCATCAGATGCTGCTCCAGGCACTCCTACCTATTCTCGGTGACGATGTCATATATCCCGCCCGGCTGGTGCTGTGATCAACCGGGCGTCTTATGGCGTATCTGGCGCAGCCCACAACGCTCAGGTATATGGGGCAATTTTCTACGTTGAGTGGGTGCTGTGGCGGGCAATCTCGCCCAGTGTTCCAATAACAGAGCGTGTTGGGGCTGTACCGCGGTCGCTGGATATACATACACATATCCATCGGCACGCACAGACCTTCCGCATATTGGACCTGGCTCGGTGGCTGGCCCAGATGAGCGATCGACCGCCCTGCACCGCGCACGCTGTCACCAACAGACACTGCCGTTCGGGCGATACATATACCTACATGTGCGGTGTATTACCTATCCACCGCACGGCAGTCGGGCGATACATGGCCACCGCACGACCGATACATACCCGCCGAATGGGGAAGGACCGACCAGAGATACACCCAGGCTGCGAACAGGGGAGGCTGGACGATACACCTAAATGTAAACGGTGGATGTTAGGCGATATACACCGAAAGCAGACATAGCAGCCCACAGTGCTACCTATCTGATACCATCGATCACGACAGGAGCCAACTAGTGCGAGGGGTTGGTGCGCGAAATGCAATTATTGAATCAAATAAACAATCAAGATGTATTCCGGAGAGCTCCCGTTTTCAGCGTTTGTGAGGCGCGACCTGCCCGACGCGGGCTGCCTCAGCCGACAGCCACTCAGCCAGAGAGATGCAGCGTGTCCGGCCTGGCAGCGATGCCTGACGCCGTGTCCAAGGACGGAGTCGCACCCATCCATCACAGCAGTGAGACGGCCCAGAGACACAGAGCTGCCTGGGTATGAACGTAGCGCCAGGCTGTCACAAGGCACACTTCTTCAGTGGAGGAATGAGAATGAGGGAAATGCACAGATTTTTACGACAAACGGAGCCAAAGCTGGGAGATTCATCCCTAGACAAACCATTCGTTGATTCTCTGGTATGTACGACTATTGACTGTGCTACTTCATGAGCCGGCTCGCCTCAGCCAAATCATATTGTGAGCCAAACTTGGTATCACCCAACCACCAAATTAGCAAACCATCCGGCGAATTTCTCCCAGAGACTCCCCATAAAACCGTCTCCCACCTCTCAGCTATGGATAGTCTCTTTTAATTAAGTTCCGGATGACTTCTCCAGGCGGAGATCTTAACGATTCGG